CCCCACAAAGTGTGCCGGAGGTGGGCGCCGCTCCCCTCTGATCCAGGAAATCCCCTTGGCGGGGCCCTTTCCTGGGGTCTGCAGAGGAGTGGGGCGGTGCAGGGGAGCGAAGCTGGACCAAAGGCCAGAGCGCGGTGCCTGGCATGGAGCCAACTCGGGTTCCAGCCCCGGCACCCCATAGGGCCCCCCAAAGCCCCGTCAGGAGGGATCCCTGAACACGGAGCCAGGAGTCAGCCCCGAGCATGGCCTGGTGTGACCCCAGAAAAAACGAATCCCCCACTGACGGCAGAGGGCGCCCTGCTGATGGTTCGAGGAATTAAGGACTGAGGAAGCACTGACTTAGATACCGGAGGGTTCTGCTTGGAAATCTCCTTCAAGGAGAGGCCTGAACATCAGGCACAGGGCCGACACAGGTTTGATCCCGGCATCCCATATGGTCCCCGGAGTGACCCCTGAGCACAGAGCCAGGAGTCAGCCATGAGTACAGAGCTGGGAGTCAGCCTTGAGCTCTTCCCGTGTGGCTCAGCAACAAAGTCCGCAATAACAGCAAGGTAAACAGCTCAGGGTCTGTGTCAAGGAGGAGGGAGCACTGGCAAGGCGCCCCCTCCGCCCTGACCTGCCCCCTCAGGGAGAAGCAGGCCCCCCCCCCAGGGCAGGCGTTCCCCCAGAGCAGCTCAGGCGTCGGCTCGTCCTGCCCGTCCCCCAGAACGGCTTAGACCTGGGTCATGCTGTCCCAATGAGACCTGGCCGGGACCACACCGGGCTGCAGCCTCGTGTGGACAGGGTGGGGAGCGCGGGTTGGGGGCTTTGAGGATGCTCCTGGCCCCCTCAGCAGCCGCCCTCATGTCTCCCCAGGTGCGATGAGAACTGTCTGAGCTGCGAAGGCTCCAGCCGGAACTGCAGCAGATGCGCACCCGGCTTCACGCAGCTGGGCTCGTCCTGCGTCACCAACCACACCTGCAGCAACGGTGAGCCCGGGACGGACACAAGGCTGGGAGCCAGGGCGGGGTTGGGGACTGTCCCGGGCCAGCACAGGGCCAGGATGGGCTGTGGCTGTCGGGGGCCAGCACGAGGTCCCCAGGAAGGCTGCGTGCACAGGACTGGGTGCAGGCTGACTGGGGGGGCCTTGGCTCCACGTGTTGTCCCGAGCATCACGGGGGTGGCCTCCAAGCCAGAAATAAGGCCAGACTCAGTCCAAGTCCCTGCGGGCCCGACACCCCTCACTTTTCTCCCTGGCACTGTGGGGTGTGGGGAAGGGGCCTGCCCGCCGTGGGAGCCCAGGAGAATGGGGGGGGGAGGGTTGGAACCGAGCTTGAGTGGGGGCCCACTCCCTGCGGCACCGGGGTTGGAACTCGGTTCGCGTGTCCCGTGCATGCCTGAGCTTCTGCCCCGCGTCCAGGCCGGGGCCCTGACCTCATCTGCGCTTTTCCCGCACAGCTGACGAGACCTTCTGCGAGATGGTGAAATCCAACCGGCTCTGCGGGCGGAAGCTCTTCATCCAGTTCTGCTGCCGCACCTGCCTCCTGGCGGGCTAGGGGCGCCCCCACCCCACCCCGCCCCGCCGGGCTCAGGACCAGAGGCCAGTGTGGGCAGCTGCACCTGACCCCCAGGAACAGGACTCCCCACCTCGTGACTCAGTGGTGGGCCTGAGGGGGGCGTGTTTCGGAAACCGCAATCACCTCTTCAGAGTCAGCTTGCTCAGTCCATCCTTCTGGCAAATTCCGACCTACAACTGGAGGCCTCGGGAAGCCACCTGGGGGGTCAGCTCTGGGCCACTGCGGGCTCACTGCGCTTCCAGACCAAAGCAGGGAGGACTGGCGCTCGGCCAGGCTCCCAGCCCTGTCTCCCGGCCAGTCTCGCCAGGCCCACGGGCCGTGTGGGCACAGTGTAGACGAAGTTGACTTGGGGGCCGGGAGGTGTGACCCCTGGGCTGCTGCCTCTGTCTCCAGAACCAGCTTCTGCAGCAACGGCAGCGACAGCCAGAAAGGCCTCGAGCATCCCTGTATGTAGACGCCGAGTCTCGGGGGCCCAGATCCCCACCCCAGGAGACGGTGCTTCCTGAGCTGGGGCCCCAGGAGGCGAGGCGTCCCAACCACACCCCACCCCAGGACCCTGATGCCAGTTTCCTCTTTCCCAGCTTTCAACCCGGCCCAGGGCAGACACTCACCCGCCCATGGTGCCCCATTTTCCCGAACTGACTTTCCAAATCCGTTCTGGCCTCTGATCATTATTTTCAAGCTGGGTCTCCAGGGCCTGCACATCTCCTGAGCTGGCGGCACGGTTGCGCTTCTTTCTGCCAGACCGGAAGGCGTTTTGGAAGCCACGTGTCCTCGTCTGTTCCGAGGTCCAGTTCATCTCTTTTTACTGACATGCACGGAGCCGCCCGTTCCACTCCCTACAGTAGGGGAGGGGGACATTTGCCTTAAATTTTTTCCAGCTCCTTCTCCTTTTGGTCCTGCTGCTTCCCCCACCCCCTCCCCTTATGAACTGTAACACATGCCTTGTCCCAGGGGGCTGGGGCACCCGGGAGTAAACCCAGCTGTTGTTTATTGAATCCACAATTCTGAGACAGACATCAAGCAAATACCACATTAACCCTAAATTAATAAAAAGTTGAAACTTCCTTCTCATGGCCACGGTCAGCCTTGGCCTTGCAGGCATGCTCCAGGACCCAGGAGTGTGTGAAACAGCCCCCCACCATTTGGGGGAGAGTCTCTGGGCTCAAGCTGAGTCCCTCTTCATGCCACAAAAGCCTGGTTGGGAGCGGGGGAGCCGCCAGCAAACTTAGCTTCAACTTAGCATGCAGGAGACCCAGGCTCCTTCCCCAGCACTGCCAGGAGCCATCCCCGAGCACTGACCAATGAGTCTTCCAGGGAGGGAGGCCAGAAGCCTTGCATGCAGCCAAACTGGGTTCAAGCCGCGCATCTCTTAAGGCCCCCTGAGTCCCATCAGGAGTGATCCCTGAGCGCAGAGCACCCACCTCAGGGCCTGGGGCCCGTTTCCCAGCTCCCCTCTACCCCACACCACCTGCACTATGTAATGGCCACACAGAGGTGAGCCCCTAGCTCCTGGACCTGAGCCTTCAGGAGCCAGAATAACTAGAGAACAGCTGTGGTCAAAGATCATGGACTGGGCTAGAGATACAGTACAGCCGGGAGGGTGTTTGAGTTGTCTGTGTCTGACCTGAATTGGATCTGAGCACCTCGAGCCCTGCCTGGAGCGATCCTTGAGCACAGAGCCAGGAGCACCTGCCCGGCGTCGACCAAACAAGAGAAAGAAAATAAACATACACCTTAGGATGGGTAACTCAGGAGCTTAGCATGCGATAATATTCACGTAGATTTTGTCTACCAGAAGACATTTGACCATGTGTGGAGACTTGGGGACCAGACTGATATCTAGCTAGGTAGAAGTCAAAAACTGTGGTAAACATCCTGTAACACATGGGACTGCCCCCACAAAGAACTCTGTCCCCAAAAGCCAACAGGGTTGAGGGTGAGAAACACTGGACTAAAGGAAGAAGAAGTAAAGGTGGTTCACGGCTTCCCAGAGAATGAATGAAACTGCCCATGGTTGGATTTCTGATCATCCCTGTGAAGAAAGCAAACTGTACTACCTTTTACTATTGCAGGGGGAGAGGGCACATCTGATGGTGTTTGGGGCTGCGCCTGGCTCTGCGGTCACTCCTGACAGAGCTCAGGGTTCAGTATGCAGTGCCAGGGTTGGACTCTGGCAGTCCTGCATGCAAAGTCCATTTTCAGCCCACTGTGTCATCTCACCAACCCATTTCAGGTGTTTTTTTTTTAATTGAAGGGGGTAGTTGTTTCGGTTTTGAGGCCACACGCAGCTTACTCCTGGCTTTGCGCTCATGGATCACCCCTGGTGAGTTGGGGGTATCATATAGGGTGCCCAGGATCAAACCCGGGTCATCCAAGCGCGACACGCACACACACACACACACACACACACACACACACACACACACACACACTTGAAACCAGAGCTGGTCTAAGAGCGCCGCCTATTGATCATTCGTAGAATTGTGACGTTGAGCAAAGCGTCTATGCACTTGGGGCTGAAAACAATGGAAACTCTTAGGACTGCTAGAATGCATCAATAACTTCATTTTCTTAGACTGTTGGACATTTATCTATCAAGGAATGATAGCAGCACCTTGATCCCAGCATTTGATTCCTGGTTCATGAAAATCCATAGCTCCTTATACATGGGAGAAACATGGGCCTTGAGTATCAGATCCAGGAAACTCGGGAACACAGAGCAAAGGGAGCAAGCCCAAAAGCTGCAGAAGGGCTGGGTAAGTGGTAAGATATACTGGGGGGAGCGCGGGCGGGGTCTACACCGCGGGGGAAGGAAATAAGCCGTTGCTAGCTGCATCCGCTGGGGGTCCCAGGCACAGCAGCGCCACAGAAACGAGGCGTGACGCGTGTCGCCGGAGCGCATGCAGGCCAAAGGCCGTCTCCGGAAGCTGGGCGTGCGGCTGCCTGCAAAGCCCACCCTTTCTGCGGCGGGAGGGGCGCTCTGCGGGGCCTTCAGTAGTTGCCCTGTGGCCCCTGGGGCCTTTGTGCCTCTTCTGCAGGTGGAAGCAGGGGTAACGCGAACTTGCCGCGTGCTCGGCGCGCTAGGTCGGGCTCAGAGGCCCGGCCCGGCGACACCGGCTTCTGCCCCGCAGATCGCGCCGGGCACCAGCAGCAAACGCCGGAGCCCAGGGCGCGCACGCGCACTCGCACTCGCACTCGCACCGCGGGCGGGCGTGGCTGCTCGATCGCTCCGGCCCGAGCGGCGCAGCTGCGCGCGCAGACGCCGGAGCGATTGGCGCTGCCTGGCGGCGGGGCGCGGGGCACGCCGGGAAAGGCGACGCGGCGCGGGGCACGCCGGGACGGCGGCGGGGGCGGGGCGCGGGGCACGGCGCGGGGCACGCCGGGAAAGGCGACGCGGCGCGGGGCACGCCGGGACGGCGGCCGGGCAGGGCGGGAGGGCGCGCGGCGGCGGCGGCGGCGGCGGCGGCGGCAGCGGCGGCCGTCGGGCGCGGGGCGGCAGGATGGTGAAGCTGACGGCGGAGCTGATCGAGCAGGCGGCGCAGTACACCAACGCCGTGCGCGACCGCGAGCTGGACCTCCGGGGTGAGGCCCGGACGCGGGCGGGCGGGGCGCGCCGGGCCGCGTGCGCTCGGGCTCGGCCCCCGCGCTAACGGCCTCAGCCCGGCTCCTTCCCGCCGGGACCGGGGCTGCCCTGTGCACGGCCCGCCAGGTGCTCGGGCCCGGGCCCCGCGCTGCCGACCGCAGCCCGGCTCCTTCCCGCCGGGACCGGAACCGCGGCTGCCCCGTGCACGGCCCCGCCGGGCGCTCGGGCCGCGCGCGCTCCCGCCCCCTCTTGGTTCGCTGCGCCCGGGACCACCGGGCATCCCGGGAGCGGCACGTCGGTTGCTGGTGGTGGCCTGAGGCTTACAGCCGCCCCGGGGCGCACGGTTTCGACCAAGACGATGCTTAATGGTATTGGCACCGGTGTTTCCAGAGTCGGTGCAGCCTGATCCGGGGGTGGCGCTTGCTTTGATTGTGTCCCTTCCCATTCGGAATTGGCTGAGCTCGTTGTTTTTTTTTTATTGTTGTTATTATTATAATTGATCCTCCCTCTCCAGACATGACCCGGAATCACTGGCATAAATCGCTTTGCCAGGAGGGTTGCCATTGTCTGGAACCCGGAGCTGGGTAAATCAGTAGGGGGCTGCCCAGTTTTCTGGAGGCAGTCCTGGAAGGTTCTCGGAGATAACAGAAGCAGAGCGATTGGTCCAGCGTAGGGTCAGGATTTGGACGCTACCCCTAGGCTGGGTGCATTGTTAATTTCTGCACGTTCCAGGGCTCTGAGGCTCCTGGGAAGTTGGGGATGTCTGGAGCCCTCGTTCTGTTGGGACTGGTCAGCAGCATCTTCACGGTGTCTACATTTAGAACATCAGGTCACATGTCTGGACTGGGAGGGTGTTGATGTGGCCTGGGGTGAGGTGGGTCCTTTGTGAATGAATGAAAAACAGAGTCGTTCCCCCCACCCCCACCCCGCAAAGTCCTACTAATGGTACGGTGCAATTACACTGAGTTCTGTGGTTTCTTTCTTATTTCCCCTTACTGTTTACAGGCTATAAAATTCCCGTCATTGAGAATCTGGGTGCTACCTTAGACCAGTTTGATGCCATTGATTTTTCTGACAATGAAATCAGGAAGCTGGATGGTTTTCCTCTCTTGAGAAGACTGAAGACATTGTTAGTGAACAACAATAGGATATGGTAAGTGTCTGCTTGTGCAAAGTGCCTGAAAATGTGGTCGCACCTGCTGCCAGCATCTTTCTTAAAAGGAGAGGTGAGGGCCAGAGAGACAGAACAGTGGGGAGGGCTGGCCAGGATTGGATCCCCGGCATCCTGTATAGTCCCCTGAGCATCTCACAGGTGTGGTCCTAAAACGAAGTAAAATATGGGAATTTAGGAAGTGACAGCCAGGCACCAACTTTGCTCTGGGCTAATCTTCCTGGTTAGTCCTTTCTGGGACTAGAGAAGTAGTTCAGGGGTTAAGGCACTTGCTATGCGCACAGCTGACTGATTTCATTGTCAGCACCTCCAGGAACCAGCCCTGAGCTGATTGCCGCCCCCCCCCCCCCCCCCACACACACACACATGCACACACAAACATCTTGTTCATTTAGAGTGTTTTGTGTTGGTTCATACCCGTGGTGCTCAGGAATTACTCTGGATCTACACTCAGGAATTACCCCCTGGCAATGCTGAGGGGCCCGCATGGGATGCTGGATTGAACGTGGGTCCATGGAGTGCAAAGCAAGTTCCCTGCTCTCTGTGCTAGCACTCCAGCCCCGCATTTGTTTAGATAGAAAGAAGAACAGCGCTTTGTACAGAGTTTGGTTTCTTCAACAGTAGTGTATTAAACGATCGTAAAAGGGGCCAGAGAGATAGTACAGGGATGCCGGCGTGTACTTTGTACAAGCCACGCCTGGTTCGATGCTGGCCCAAAAGGATCCCTGAGCACTGCCACCCCAGATCCCCTGCTCACTGCACGTGCACTGTGACCAAGAGCTTCATGTTTGCATTTCAGCCGCATCGGCGAGGGCCTTGATCAGGCACTGCCCTGTCTCACGGAACTCATTCTCACCAACAACAGCCTCGTGGAACTGGTAAGTAGACTGGGGGCATAAGTGGGCTCAGACACAAAAGTCCATCTGCAAGTCTGGGATTCAGCTCCTTGTCTGTTGCCTGTCTCTCCTGGACGCTGTATAGACTCAGCTTTGAGGACCTGTCTCACATACCTTTTCTTTGTTGCTCACATTTTGACTTCTGGGGTTTCTTTTATTTGGTGGAAGGTGGTGTTGGGCCACACCTGACAGTCCCCTGAGCACTGCTGGGCATGGCCCAAAAAACAAACATGAAGGTGACCATGGCCAGTAGCACCCCTGTACTGGTGTTCACCCAGCATGTGCTTCTGTGTCCCTCACAGGGTGACCTGGACCCCTTGGCGACTCTGAAGTCACTGACCTACCTAAGGTAAGCAGGTTCGGGGGGCCAAGCCTCAAGGCCAGTGGTGAGACAGAGTCCCCCTCCCACACCAACTCCTTCCGGGGAGCACGGCCTCTGCTTGGAGCGTGGCTCTCTGTGGGCCCCCTCGGCCACCGGTTGTCCCTCCTCCCCAGCATTCTGCGGAACCCCGTCACCAACAAGAAGCACTATCGCCTCTATGTCATCTACAAGGTCCCACAGGTCCGCGTCCTCGACTTCCAGAAGGTGAAGCTCAAAGTGAGTCGCGGCAACTGCACGGGTTTGGGGGGTGGGGGGGCGCATTGGGCTGGCTGATGAAGACTGTGTGGTGCTGTGGGGGCTTGTGGGGACTGGGAGCCCGCCTTGGGGTGCAACCCCCACCCAGAGGAAGAGCTCGCCCTTCCCACAGGGCATCCCGGTGCACTGGGAGAGGCTGTGTTTGGTTTTTGACCGCCTCCTTTCCTTGCAAACTTCTGCTGGAAACTAGGAGGAGAAGAGTTAAGGGGGGGGGGCTCAGAGCAATGGGACAGTGGGGAGGGCATTACACACGTCAGACCTGGGTTCATTCCCTGGCATCCCACATGGTTTCTCAAGCATCACCAGGAGTAATTCCTGAGTATAGAGTCACGAAAAACCTCTAAGCATTGCAGGGTGTGGCCCAAAAAGGAAGAAAGAAACCAATTTTTTCCAGAGGAAGAGGTGTTTTTAAATAGAAGCTGAAGGAGAAATTGGGAGCTTTCCCCGGGGCATTCATTCAGAGAAAGCCAGGCCCTGGGGCTCCTGTCCACTGGAGATCAGATCTGGAGAAGTACCTGGTAGGTCCTGCAAAGCACCTGCCTGGCCTGAAACCAGAGTTCCCTCCCTCCCTCCTGCAAGAGGGAGACTGGGGAGATGCCTCACCCCAAGTTCAGGCCCCTGTCCCCAAACACTACCCCTCTGTGGACTCCAGCCCTGCAAGGCCCAGCAGCTCTGCTTTCTCTGTCCTGGTACTAAGCTGACTAGCCTGCTTAGCCAAGTACCACTGGGGTTGACCCCTGGGCCCCCTGAACATTGCTCGGGAGGTATGCGCCCCCATCCCCCAATTAAAAGAATATGAAGGAACTTGGCTTCCTGGGCTTTTGCCAGCCCTGGTGTGTGTTCTGAGGAATGCATCTAAATGCACGTGCTTTTCCGGTTTCCATTAACTCTGTGTGTGGTGTCGCTGTAGGAGCGTCAGGAAGCAGAGAAAATGTTCAAGGGCAAACGGGGTGCTCAGCTTGCAAAGGATATTGCCAGGAGGAGCAAAACGTAAGAGCCGGGTATCTGACCTCACTCCGCTTCCCCTTCAGAAACACTCTGCCGGGCGCCTGGCCGCCGGCACAGCCTACCCGCCACGCCCGAGCCAGCACCATGGGCCCTGGCATGACCCTCGGCAGGCCTACCCAACAGCAGAGCGGGCACGCCGCGGCTCCAGCCCCATGCCGAGCCTGTCGAGCTTGCCGCTGGCAGAGGCCCTGGGTGGTGTTTCTGAAGGAGAGGCCGCCTGTATCAGTTTGTTAACAAAGATGAGATACTACACTGGTCACCTCGCTTTCAAGTCTTGAAAGTAGAGGAGAAGCGATTGCCCTGGACCTAGTGTCACAGCCGTGGCCTTCTCCCTTCCCAGGTTTAACCCGGGTGCTGGTCTGCCAACGGACAAGAAGAAAGGGGGTCCCTCTCCAGGGGACGTGGAAGCAATTAAGGTAACCAGGAGTTGCCGGGGCTCAGGTTACACTTGCTCGGGAAGCCCAGCACCGAGCCTGTGGCTGTTAGAATCCCTGCTTCTTCAGGAAAGTCAGCAGGACGGACTTGGGTACTGGCTCAGCGCCACCCTCACAGCGTAGCCACTTGACTCCTTTTCCGCAGAGGGAAGCTCAGGGGCCCCATGCGTCGACTTGGCCTGACTGCTCACACTCTGGTGACCAGTAGGCGTCCATATCCTCATTTGGCTGTGGCCCCTGGTCAGGCCTTGGTGTCACCGGCCAGCCAGGCCAACAGTTTACTGTCAAGCAAGAGACCTTCAGCTCTGGGCTTCAGGGTGGGTTTCACTTGGTGCCCCGGCTGGGGAAGCCTCAGGGTCCTCCTGACTGCATCCGTGACTGGCCACCGTCTTCCTCCCTACAGAACGCCATCGCCAACGCGTCAACCTTGGCTGAGGTGGAGCGGCTGAAGGGCTTGTTGCAGGCCGGACAGATCCCTGGCAGGGAGCGCCGAGCAGGTCAGGGGGACACCACCTTGATTTTGTCTGTTCCAGATCAGCCTGGGCTCCAGAGTGACCCCTAAACATTGGAGACCCGGAACCCAGTAGTCCGCACAAGTCTGCCTGGTGCCTTCACACCATATTACTGCACATGCCCGAACCCCCTGGAGTGTGCTCTGTGATGGAAGAGTTAGTTAGAACAGTGTTCCCTCCTAGAATGGGGGGTGGGGGGAAGGCTACAAGAGCCAAAGAGAACCTTGCCTTGCCCCAAGTAAAGCAGAGCCGCGTGGCCTCTGCTGTCATCTGTAAGTGGCTGCATCCTCTGCTGTCTGCCTGTGGTTGGAGCAGGCTGCGTCCCATCCACCCCTCTATCCCCACAGCCATTTCTTCCTGTGCGAGAGCGAGACAGTACCCTGGGCTGGAAGCCGGGGGTCGCTGGGTCAGGCTTCCTGGTTCCCACTGACAGTTGTTGCTGAGGATTCATTCCTGTGACTCGGGCCAGCTTGCTGTTGGACTGTGCGTCAAATGCTGGGCATGTCAACGGCCCTTCCATGCCTGCCCCTCGCCAATCTCATCCACATGTGGCTGAGGGGCTCTGCCCAGACTGGCACTCAGAAATAGGGCCCCAGAGGAACTGAGGGGATACTAGCCTAGGCCAGCACTGCGGCCAGCGGGCAGGGCTCGGGTGACACTGAGAATTGATTGCTTTTTTCATCAGAAGGACGCATGGCCCTGGGAAGTTCGGGTGGTCAGGGGGTACGTGCTGGTCCCATGGCCCTGGCCAAGACACAGCTCAGAGGCTGTTTGTTTCCTCTGTCCTAAGCCTCTGCACACCGTCGCAGAATGCAGACCCATTGCGGAGCTGTGGGCCTGGCCGCGGGTCAGGCAGGACCCTGTGGAATACTGTTTGATAGTCAGGGTGAGGGGGTGTGGGGGCGCATGTTTCAAGGATCGCCCACTGTCCCTCGTTCTCAAGGGTAGATTTCGGGATGTCAGGTAGTGGGTGCGGGCTGGAAAGCAGAGAGGGAACACGGGCCCAGGCACGTCATTCTGGGGTTTGATCTGGCCCGATCCCGAGCACCACAGTTCTCTGAGCACAGAGCACTCCAGGGGTGGTGCCTGAGCAATGCTAGATGTGCCTCCAACACACGAAGAAAGGCTGGAATTCTTTCCCAAGACCACGGCTTTATCCACATCCTGGGGCTTTGCAACTTCTCTGAGGAAATCAGGGCTGATGTTTGTAGAGAGGCTTAGATTGAAAAAATTTAACACGATGGGTAATGATGAAAACACATCACTAAGGGTTAGGTGCCCCTTCTCTTACTGCCCACGGAGCACTTGAATCACAAGAAAAAACTCTGAAGGCCTGAGAGAGCACAGTGGGAGGGCAGTGCCCTGCACGTGGCTGGCCCAGGCTCTATCCCCAGCACCCTATGTGGTCCCCCAAGCCCCTCCAGGAGTGACCCCTGAGCAGAGCCAGCACCGCAGCTGGATGTATCCCCCAAATCAACATTTGTGAGGGCCGTTGGTGAAGGCCTCGTTCCCTTAGGGCAAAGGGTTCTTGCCGATGGCAGGCACCACATGACCCCAGGTTTTGTGTTCTCCTTAGGCCCTGCCGACGACGGTGAGGAGGAGATGGAGGAAGACACGGCAGCAAATGGATCGTGAGGTGCCTCGGCTGTAGTGCTTCCAGGCGTGCCGAGCAGTCCGAGAGTCTTGCTAGAGGCTCGGACTGTTGGGCGTGGCATGGTTTTGGAAGAGGATTTTGAAACCTAAATGTCATTTCCGTCCTCTCCACGGGGTCAGAGGACACTGGGCGGTGACATGTCCTGGGGTGCAAGGACATGATCCAGCTGGGGGGTGGGGGGGTTAGGCCTGGTCCTGTGTGAGACATTTGATGTTTAGATTCTTAATAAAAGTGAAAATGATCCCAAAGCTGCCTGTGGTGAGCACTAAGAACGGTTGTTGCTGGCGTGTTCTGTTCTACGTGAGGGGTAACAGGTACTTGATGGGGGCTTTGGGTGGAGGTCGGGGTGACGGCGCTGTGGCCTCGGCTTTGTCAGGGGAGCCCCAGGTTCCATCAGCACCTCATGGTTCCTCGAGTGCCACCAGGTTTGGCTCCAGAAAACAAAGCGTTGCCTCCAGAGGTGGCCCCAAGATAACACTAAAATACTAATGCAAGAAATCCCTGTCACTGACATGGGCTTTGGGATCAAGATAATAGCTCTGGGCTGGAGCAATAGTGTTGCAGGCAGCACTTGCCTCGTATGTGACCAGCCCTGGTTTGATCGCTGGTATCACATACGGCACCCCAGTTTCTGCCAGCCAGGAGTAAGTCCTGAGCACCACAGGGTGTGACCCCAAAACAATATTGCTACCTGGATGTAGGATGCAAAGGAAGAGCTTGGGGGCCTTGTTGGGTGTCTAAGAATGTTTGGCCTTGAGAGGAGTTCTTGGGTTACATGTCTGAGAAGTGCTGGAGTTGCCATCTCTGATCTTGACTTTAGTGATACGGTGACCTGTTCCTGCCTAGACCATCCTGGACCCTCTGAGCTCTGCTTGGCCCTAGGAAATAGGGCAGGGAAAGGGCTCAAAGCTGGTGCAAAGGTGCTCTGAGCTCCAGCCCTGGCACTGCAACTTCTGCCAAGGACTGAGCACAACTGGCTGGGGCCCCCAGAGCCGAAAATATCAAGTGGGCAGTGCTAGGAGCAAGGACGAAGGAAATGAGGCTCACATTCTAAGTGGATACAGTTCCTTCTGCTTGCTTGCCACAGCTGGAGAATTGTGCCCCAACCACCTGGCATCAGCTGCAAGAGGGTGGTTGTGATAAGCGATGATTCATTGTGGCTGCTCCTTCAGTCCACCATGGTCATGACAGGGAGTGACACATGTTCCGTATGCCCTGTTTTTGCAAATAATACCTGAGCAGCTTCATTAAAACTGCCTTTGCTGAATGTGACTCGCTTAAAGTCACATTAAAGTTGGAGAGATGGTACACTCGGGAAGGCGTTTGTCCTGTATGTGGCCAACCCCAGCTCACTTCCCAGCACTGCATGTGGCCCCTTGATCACTGCCAGGAGTCACGCCTGAACATAGAGTAAGCCCTCAGCACTGCCGGGTGTGGCCCAACCCAAGGAAAAGCTAATGAGATTCAGGTGGGGTTTCATAAGCAGTTGGGGGGCGGGGGGACACTCATACCAGTTCACTAAGCATTCAGTGTGAGGGTCTGAGAATGGGCTGCTGCAGAGTGCGGAGCCTTCCCAGCTGGTGGTGCTTGGGGCCCCGAGGCCACCACCTTATGGCATGTTGGAAATTCAGCAGGGTCAGTTTAGGCATAAGCCTAAACCCTGATTATCTCTCTGGTCCCTGGTGATTTGTGTGTGTGCAGGGGGTGGACCCAGAGCCTCAGACTTTCAGGCAGGCGCTTGGCCACTGAGCCACTTCCCAGGCCAGTACACCCAAATTAGAGGGCCAATGATAACTCCAGGAATGGGCGGCTCAAAGGCTGGGAGGCCCAATCTGGTCCAATATGAAGCACCCGAAATATGCACAGTGTAAGTAACCAAGCCATCTGACTGGTTCATCCGTCAGATTTTCTATCAAGACATTGAAAGCAGAGGTCTTGCGATATTCACCAGGCTGACTATTACCTTCTAGAACAAAGCTCTTGCAAGAAGTCAGCAACTGAAAGAATGTGGGGATGACACCAGAGCTATAATACAGTGGGGAAGATGCCCTGCACCTGAGCAATCTGTGATTCGTCCTCTGCACCCTATAGTGTCTCCTGACCCCCCAGGAGACAGAAGTTGGTTTCAATGAAAGCCTGGCTACCCCCACCATTTGTTCATTGGACAGAGATAAGACACACCACAGTAGTTCCTTTTCTTTCCTGTTGACAGTCTTCAATCACTTGAAGGTGAAGGATCTCACCGTGAGGGATGGAGGCTAGAGCGGGAGGGAGGGAGAACAAAGAAAGGGTTTTTGCATGAGGATCCCCATCCACCAGATTCACAGTGGATTCAGAGCATTCTTTATTTTTTGTTTTGGTCTTTTGGGGTCACACCCGGTGATGCTCAGGGTTTACCCCTGGAATCCTGGCTGTGCTTGGGGCTCCACATTGGGTGCCAGGGATCGATCCCGGATCTGCCGCCCGACCCGCCGTGCCACGGCTCTAAACAGGAGTTCAGGAGGGGAAAGAACTATATGCGGGCTTCCTTAGCTTTGCTTGTTTTGTGGGCCGCAGCCCGTTGTGCTCAAAGCTTAACTGCTGGCAGGCTCGGGGACCCTATAGGGTGTCAGGGATGGAACCCGGGTCTGCCCCATGCGAGGCAAGCGCCCTCCCGGCTATTCTGCGCCCGCTGTCCCATGGCCCCAGTCCCTGGACTTAGGTTGTGACAAATCTTTGACACCTGGGCTGCAAATTTCAATGCGTGACCGGGAGTCACGCAGCAGCTGGGCCCTGTTGCCCAGGGCCAGGATATGAACATAAACCCGTTTGCAGGTGGCCGCCGGGGCCCAGCCCTTTGTGCCCACAGTCAAAGGAACTCGCCAGGAGGTCAGCCAATCCTCCCGGAGCTTGGCCGGAGGGACGCGGCCAGCCGCCCGGCGCGTGGCCACGCCCCCCGCCGGGCTGGGCGTGGCCACGCCCCTTTGGGCCGCGCCCCTTCCGCGGCCTCCCCGCGATTGGCCGGCCGGCGAGCCGGGCCGCGCCGCGATTGGCCGAGGCGCCGCCTGGCGCGTCACGTGAGGGAGGGGCGAGCCGGAAGCGGGCGAGGGCGCTGACGCGGCGGGGCGCGCGCCGGGCGGCCATGGAGGCGGACGGGGAGCAGCTGGGCGCGCGGCCGGCGCTGGAGAGCGAGGGGCTGCGCGTCCTGCACGTCACGGGTGGGTGCGAGGGCGGGCGAGTGGCCGCGGGCCCGCGCCGGCGCCATGCTCGGTGGGTCGTCGTCGTCCGCGGCGGCGCCGGGCCCAGGCGGGGGCGGCCAGGCGGGCCCGGGGCCTGCACTCGCTGGCCGGGACCCCCGGTGGTTGGGGCCGCGCGGCCGGGGGCGCCCGGGGCAGGCGGGGACCCACCCTGGCAGCCGGGAGGGGCGGCGCCCGCGCGGGGGGCTTCTCTGGCGGGTTTGCATCTCCGGGGGAAGCGGGGTTCGCGCTGGACAGCTCCGTCCCTCTCTGCAGTAGGCTCCCTGCTGGCCACCTACGGCTGGTACATGGTGGTCGCCTGCGTCCTGCTCTACGCGCTCGTCCAGAAACTCTCCACGCGACTGCGGAGCCTGCGACAGACACGGCTGGACCGAGCGGCTGCCGAAGTGGGTCAGTGCCCGCCCTGGGGACCCCAGCCGACCCCCCCACGCCCACCCCGGCTCCCTTTACAGAAAAGGCGCTGTCGGTTAGGGGGAAGGAAGGAGCGCTCTCCCCCTCTCCTCTCCACCCCCCCACCGCCAACCCCCCACTAGCCACATCATCACCATCACCATCATCATCATCATCATCATCATTATTCTTTGCTTGTTTCTGCCCCCCTCCGGGGTCACTCGAGGGAATATGCGGTGCTGCGGGTTGAACCCAGGGCGCCTGCACTTAGCCCCTTACACTATTTACCTGGCTCGCCCCGGCTTTTTCACTTAGTTGAGCATGGAGGGGGGGTGTTTTCTGAGGGGCCCCGCCCAACAAGCTTACTGGCTCTGTGCCCAGGGATCACTCCTAGTGGTGTTTAAGGTATCTACAGCATTCAGTATCGACTGCATTTTGTAGGGGGGCTTGATCTGGGGTAAGCTGGGGGCAAGGTAGGCACTGAACCCCTCCCTGTGCTCTCTCTCCAGCGCTGCTCTTCTTTCAGACAGAAAATTCCAGGCCAGAGCAATGGCACCTGCTGTACTCCCGCCCTAGCCATCATCCATCTTGGTGCTTGCTAGTGCTTTCTAGGATGAAATACCTAAGGCAGGGCCAGAGAGATAGTGCTGTGGGGAGGGAGCTTGCCTTCCCCGCAGCCAACCCGAGTTCAATCCTCATATCCCATATGATCCCCCAAACACCTCCAGGAGTGATTCCTGAGCACAGACAGAGCCAGGAGTAATCCCCCAGAGTGGCTGGCTATGCCCCCCCCCCAAAAAAAACTAAAAAGCTATGAAAAAATCTTACCCCATTTTCTTTTTGTTTCTGGGTCTCACCGAGCAGTGTCAGGGATTACTTCCTGGGCAGTGCTCAGAGTTCACTCCCAGTGGAGATGCTGAGGATGGAATCTCACGCCCCTCCCTCCACATCCCACATGCACATGCCTGGCCTTCTCTGGAGCCCTGTCCCAGCCCTGATCTCTTCCTCTGTGGTACAGGTCTGGTCACAAAGCGAAGGGTAATGAGTCAGAAAAGTTTGTTTGGCCAGAGCAGTAGTACCCAGGTGAGGCACTTGCCTTGTACATGGCCAACCGGGATTCAATTCCTGGCATCCCAGAGTCTCCCTGGGTCCTGCAGGCAGTGATCCCTGAGCACTGTGAAACAAAAAACCAGAAAGGTTTTTTTCCAGTTGCCTCCTAGATCTCTTCCCTGACAGGTGGGTGTCAGGAAGGAGGCTTGTCTCTGTCCCAGAGCGGTCCCGGGTGCTCACTGGGGCACTGGGCCGGAAGGCGCAGAGTCCGTCTGTGACTGGGGTCTCTGTGATAATGTCGACCCCCGAGGCTCCCAGCTCCTGGACCTGATGTCCATCCCTGCCTCCTTCCCAACGCCTTAGAACCAGATGTAGTGGTGAAGCGACAGGAGGCTTTGGCCGCTGCTCGTCTGAGGATGCAGGAAGAATTAAACGCTCAAGTGGAAAAGCATAAAGAAAAACTGAAGCAGGTACCCACTGGTTTGGGTTTGAATACGTGGCCTTGGGAGTTCAAAAGGGTTGTATTTGTGTGTGTGTGTGTGCGTGCGCGCGCGTGTGTGTGCATGTGTGCATGTATGTGCTTGGACATGTACGTATGCATGTGTATGTGCTTAGATGTGTGTGTGCGCGCATGTGTGTCTGTGTTTCTATGTGTGTTCGTGTGGTGTGTGTGTACATCTGTCTGTACCTATGTGTGTGTGCTAGGAGAGCAGGTCTGTGCCCATGAGAGAGGCCTCCCGCCACATACCCACTGCAGGACATGTGTGCTCCCCCTCCCCCACCCCCAGGTCCCCTGTGAAGGACATGCAGGAGAGCATCAGAGCCGGGTTACACAGAAGTGGGTGTTTTGGGGACCAGTGTGATAGGACAGTGGGGAGGGCACTTACTTGCCTTGCACGTGCCCTGACCCACATTTGATCCCCAGCACCCCATATGGCCCCCTGAGCACCACCAGGAGTAATTCCTGAGTGCAGTCAGGAGTAACCCTAAGCATGGCCAGGTGGGTGACCCCTCCCACCCGCACCCAAAAAGTTGAGTGGTTCCCCATGGTAAGAGCTTCAGCTCATATGCGGGAGGCGGGGCATGGCCAGTGCCATGTGACTGCATATGCCTGCTCTCCTTGGGCCCGGCCGCCGCCTTGGTCCTGAGCTGCGGGCGATTGGTTTGCAGCTGGAGGAGGAGAAGAGGCGGCAGAAAATCGAGCTGTGGGACCGCATGCAGGAGGGGCGGAGCTCCCGGGCCAGCACCAGGAGGCCTCAGGTGACCGCGGCGGGGCCGGGACTGGGCTTGGGGCCTGGGAGGTGGTACACGGGCCGTGTCCCCAGCGCCTCTGTGTGTGACCCTCACCCTCCCCCAGGACGAAGACAACCCTGGGCCTTCAGCGGCTTCAGCGCCCCCAAAACGCAAACCGGACCGGAAGCCCCTACGGGCCAGCGGTGAGTAGCAGGCAGGAAGGCCATGGCCTCGTCTTCGGGAGAGCATGCGGCCACCGCGTCCCAAGTTCAGCATTGCGACTTGTCAGAGCAGGGTAGCAACTCAGACCCCTGCCTTCAGGCCAGTAGGAGAAGGCCGGACTGGCCAGCTGGGATGACCCTCGGGCCCGGTCACCGGGATGCCTGGCCCAGCAGACTTGTTCTTAGTGGCACTTGTGGGGTTCCTGAGGGGTCTTGAGCAGTGAGGGGCGTCTCTCTGGCCACCATGTTTATCCCACACAGGAAGCAGGTGCCTGGACACAGTGTGGCTGTGGCCAGGAGTCACAGAGTGGAGCTGCCAGAACCGGGCATGCCCCACATGTGGTGAGGGGGGTTTCACACACACACAGCCCCCCCCCACATACATAGGGCGCCCCAGTATGGTGGGGGGTGTTTCATATGCACATGAGCACACACGTGCGCGCACACACACGGGGCGCCTTGCTCCAGTGTTGTTGAACACGCATCAGGCAGGCGTCCAGTCAGTCCCCTGGACTCTCGGTGCCCCAGCTTGGCTGTTGAGGGGTTGGGAGAGCCACATCGCACCCTGGCAGTGCTCTGGGGCCCAGGCGGTGCTGGGGAACCAGCAGGTCAGAACCGCACCTCGCAGGCACCTTGACCCCTGTGCTGTCTCTGGCTCCGCGCTTTGATGGAGCGGGGGGGGGGGCCACCCCTGGGCCACACCTGTGCCCGGGCTCACTTCTGTCCATTCCAGGGGTTGAGTGGGCTTAGCCGCCTGTGGGGGGGCAGCACCCTGTGCTCTGTCCCCGCCCCCAGTTCAGTTTCTGTGATGTGAAGACCCCTTTCATGAGAGGACATGACTCATGAACCCCAGCACCACAGTGTGTGAAGCCGCATCCCCGCATCCCTGCGTCCGGTGCCCAGACGCTGCTCCCGAGAGGGGTCCCTATAGAGGTGTCCGTGGCAGCAGAGACCAAGACTCGAGAGCAGCTGGAGCTCACCCTGAGATCAGGGTGGCTGGTTCTTGCGCGTCAGGGCAAGGCCCGCAAGCATTGCTGGATGGGCTCGAACGCCCCCAATTCTCTGGTCTTTTCTCTTTCCCTAGGTTACAACCCGCTGTCCGGCGAAGGTGGGGGCTCCTGTAGCTGGCGGCCAGGACGCAGGGGCCCGTCGTCGGGGGGATGAGGCTAAGACTCCGGTCAGCGTCGCCAGGACGCTGGCCGCCCTCGCCCTCCGCAGGTGCCTTACACGTGCTTTTCACAGCGACTCACCACAGGGAGTGGACACACCCTGCACCTCGTGGGACTCCAGTCAGCAGTGGGGGCAGCACCAACCTTCCCCCCCCCCCACTGCGGCGACGGCCCACTTGGGGCCAGGGGCTGTTGCTGGTTGGGAGGTGGACGCCTCGGACTGGCCTCGGCTCTGCAGCGGGTGGAAGATCTGGATCCAGAAGCTCCCTCCCCCGGCCCAAGCGCCTGCCGCTGCCGGGGGCCCGTCTCTGTGAGAGGTGACGAATGACGTCGTCCTCGGAAATGGTGTGCCACCAGCGAGGACCACCGATGAAGACACTCCTGGGCGCCCTGCCTGTTCGTGTGTCCTGTCCCCGCTCGGGAGAGCCTGCGCGCGGCAAACCAGCAGCATCCCAGACAGGGCAAAGGCCACTTTGGGTCTATTAAATGGCAGGAAATCTCTTTGCCGACTTAGGTTTGTCTCAGGCATTCACGACCTCCCTCATCGCTGTCTCCAGGAAGGAGCAGAGACCCCGCCGCCTTTTCTTCCCCAGGGTGGGCCTTGGGGTGCATCCAAGGTGTTGGACACTGGGAGTCGAGTTACTGATTTCAAAATCCAGACCCGGAGTAGGAGCCCTAGTACAGCTGGAAAGGCCCTTGCCTTGTATGTGGCCCTGGCCCCAAGCACCGCCAGGAGTCATTCCTGAATGCAGAGCCAGGAGTGAGCCCTGAGCCTTGCCGGGTGTGACCCAAACACAAAAACAAACACCCAAGCCTGGGATGAGAAAGATAGTAGGGCAATTCCGGCACTTACCGTGACACGACTGACCTGGGTTCAAGCCCCAGGTACCACATATGGTTCCCTGACCACTGCCAAGGGTGATCCCCGAGCACAGCCCTGGGCCCAGGATGACCCAAACAATAAAACCCAGACACTCATGTCAAGGGGTGCTGAAGACGGATGGTGGGGCGGGGGAGGCCTGACTGGGTCCCTCAGCCTGAGGGTCAGTGGGGTCCCTGGGCCACAAGGAGCTCCTTCACCTCATCACACCTCAGGTAACTCCAGCAGCCCTGGGGCTGGGTGCTCCTGTGGAGCCGCTGGGTCAGTGGTTCCCGCTGTGGGGTCTGGACCCTGAGGACCAAGTACAGTTGCAGGCGTGAGTCAGGCCAGTGGCTGCCTGGGGACCCCAGCCCTCTTCTGCTGTCCCCAGTGCTGCCCTGAGCGAGCAGGAGCCTTGTCAAAGAAAATCAGATGGGGGCGGGTGGGTCAGGGTAGGTCACCCAGGGGGATGAGGCTGGGTGGGTCGCCCAGCAATGCTCAGGAGTGGCCCTTGGCAGTGCTCAGGACCTCTGCAGGGGTAAAACCAGGGGCAGCAAGATCCAAGGCAACCTGCACCGCGCCTCGTGCTGCCTCCCTGTCCCGTAATGGCTGTTACCTGCCTTGCACACATTCCCACCCGGATTCCGTCTCTGGCAGCCCATGTGGTCCTGCCAGGAATGATCGCTGCCTTGTGTACGGAGCCTTGCCCGGTGTGGCTGGCCTGAGCACTGGTGGGTGTGACTGAAATGGGAAAGTAAAGCAAAGCATCTGTGCCTGGGGTTTAAGAATAGTTCAGGGTGGCTGGAGCGATAGCACAGCGGGGAGGGCGTTTGCCTTGCACGCGGCCGACCCGGTTCGATTCCCAGCATCCCATGTGGTCCCCTGAGCACCGCCAGGAGTAATGTGATTGAGTGCAGAGCCAGGAGTAACCCCTGTGCATTGCCAGGTTGACCCAAAAAGAAAAAAAAATAGTCCAGGGATAAGACCTTCCTGGCATAAAGCAGCCCCAGTTCAAACCTTGACACCACAATATCCCACAAGCAGCACCAGAGGCCAATCCAGAGCACAGAGCTAAGAGCAGCAGCACTGCTGAAACCAAACAGACTCCCAAAGAAACCTCTCAATGTCCCGAATAGTGGTCCCAATGCTCACTCTTTTCAAGCAGATTCCCTCCTGCCCACCCTAGCACCCTTTCCTGCTACTCTCGCAAACTCCTGGGGTACCTGGAGATCCCTGCAGAGCCGCTACCTGCTGCTTTGCATGTATTTTAATTTACGTTGAAAAGGAGCGCTTGTTTGCCTTTATGTGTGGATATAGAGATTCTAGATTCCATGTCTTACGTAGAAAGGTTTTCATCACCCTGAGCGTCTCCCATAGGCTGTATTTTGCTTGTTTAAATCATTGATACATCTGGAATGGACTTTGGAATGGGCAGTCACCGGCACCAGGTTCCACACATGCGCCGAGTATCACCCAATTTTTATTAACTCTGAAAACAGGTTCTGTTTTATTTTAAATTAACACCTTCACGGAGCAGCAACATTTAGTGACCGCCAGGGGGCACTGTTGTCCCATGGTCCAGCCTGTCCTTAACCCTGGTGGTCAAGAGCTGAAACACAGGTTAAAAAGGTGATTTTCTCTGTGGAGGGGAAGAGGCACAAGCTCCAGTGATTGTCGATGTTCCCAAAAAGAACAGAGTCAAGCAGAGAAATCAAATCTGAAAAATTCCAGACACTTTGCTTTTGTTTGGGGAACACTCCTGGCGGTACTCAGGGCCGACTCCGGGCTCTGCACTCGGGGACCCCTCCTGGCTTGTTAAGGGGAGTATATGGGGTACTGGAGGGCAAATTCAGGTCGATCCATGGAAGGCAAGCTGTTAGACCATCGTCCCAACCCCAAGTCGGGGCATGTGGACAATTTGCAAAATCTCAGTCCTGTTCCCGTGCTCGAAGACGTGTGCAGTGAGATGTGAAGGAAACAGCAGTTTGACTCCAGCTCTGAAATTTTCATTTTAGGGGCCACACCTGGTCGTGCTCTGAACTTACACGGGATGGGGATCGGGACTCAGGGCTCAAGCTGTGGCCTCCCACATGCAAAAGATGCCCTTGGCTCTCTCTGACCACTCGATTTTCATCCTCCCACTGAGAGACTGACAGACAATACTGGGGGCAGTGCTGATTCTTTCAGGGCTGCTTGACCACGACAGCCCTTGCCAGAGGCCGAGTTGGCCACATCACTCAGGTTCCCACGGGTTTAGCCAGAGCAGCTGGACGGAGTGAACTGTGGGGTCCCCCAAGTGCAACTGAATCGAGTGAGCCGTAGGGTCCTTCTGATGCTCAGCTGATGCTCAGCGCCGCCCATGTGGGAAATTCTTACTGGCACATCCACACAGGCAGGTTCAAGTTTCCCTTGGGAACGGAACTCCCATCTTCCTTTTTGGTGGGAAGGCTGGTTTGCGTCACACCCGCTGGTGCTCTAGGGCTGTTTCTGGCTCTGTGCTCAGGAGTGACCCCTGGCAGTACTTGGGGGCCTTTACGCAGTGCCAGGGATACAGGGCAGGGTTTACGGGAAGCAAGTCAAGGGCTGTAACCCCGTCCTATCTCCCCAGCCTCTCACATTTCCCTCTTAGCCACCTCATTTATGTTAGCACCTTCCCCAAGACGTTTCATTTTCACTTCTTATGAATGTGTTTCATTTTTTAAAAGTCCTCTCCCCCGCAAAAAAAAAAAAAATTAGCAAAGACCCCAGGACATGGCTCAGTGCACTGAGCTCAATCTTTGGGAGGCCCCGGATTGGATCCCCATCATTGCATGAGGCCCCCAACACTTCTAGGAACAGCCCTAAGCACAGAGCTGGAGGAGCTCCCCCAGTGACACCAGGCCTGCCTTCAACAGCAGAACCAAAACCAACATCAGCAACCGGATCCTCAGTTCCCTCCCTGGGCAAATCCAGGTCGACCCATGCAGGGCAAGCTCTTTCTGACCGTTCACCCTCAGTTTCACCCCTTTTTTCCCCATGGTAGGCAAACTCAGGAATCTGAGGGGATGGAGAACATTCCCTAAGCCTGTCGGTACTTGGGGTGGGAGGCAGCCAGGACCACCACCAGCTGGTCTGGGGGAGAGGTGTGTGCCATGCTGGGGGCCAAATTCAGGGCCTCGCATACTGAGCTCACACTAGGGCCTTCCTGGAGGTGCACAGCCTCTGGCCTCTGACAGAGTCAGTCCTGTTTATATGCCCATGCCCCCTTCAGGGTCCCCTGGGGCCTAAGTTTTGACCATCACAGTGTGGCAGAGAAGTCTTTTGATCAGAGGTGCCATTCTCTCCCCGGCCAGGTGCTGCATTGAAGTGAGTCGGGTAGAGCTCGGGACACAAACCCCGGGGACTTCCAGGACCCGGGGCCTGAGCAGGACCACCAGCTGGGTCCTAGCGCTGAGCCCACACAGGCCGAGGGTCTGTGGGAGTAGCCCCCGGCCCTGAGTATCCCAGAGGAAAGGCATTAAAGTTTGCAATCCTTAAAAAATCTATTCTGGGGCTGGAGCAATAATATAGCAGGCAGGTGCTTGCATTGCATGTGACTAGCCCAGGCTGGATCCCCAGAACCCTATAGGGTCCCCCAAGCCCAGCCAGAAGTGATCCCTGAGCACAGAGTCAGGAATAACCCTGAGCACCACTGGGTGTGGCCCCCCAAACAAAATCATTTGCGTGTTCAGGGTCCCCCCTGGCAGTACTCGGGGGATTGAGCCAGAGCTGGTCATGTATGAGACCAATACCTTCCCCCCCCCCCACCCTCGTCCTCTTTCTCTAGCACAGTTTGCAATTTAGACAAAACTGACCCTCCCTGGCACGGAAGGGCGTGCCCTCCCCTCCCTGGGTCCCCAAGCCTCTCTCTCTCTCCCGGGTCCCCAACACAACTGCCGGTGTCATTTTGAACTCCCACACAGGCGTCCACTGCCGGGCTGGAAAAACAACACTTATCAGGGCCAGCCGGAGCAGGACAGCCTATTCCCAGGCCCAGGAACAGCAGAGCCGGGCCACAGCGGTGGGTTTGTGGCTTCTGGTGCTGCCTGATCTCTAGGGACCAGAGTCAGCTACCTCGATTCATCCCTTAAGCCTGAAGCTGCCTGCACCCCCTAATTCCCGCCAGCTGCTTAGTGGGGTTTCCCTGAAATGAGAGAGCTGGAGGGTGCGGGAGAGGTGAAGCTACTTGCCCTGTCCATAGCTGCATCCGGGCCAGGAATCCCAGCTGAGAACACAGTGAAAATAGCCCTGATCACCTCCAGGCACCACCACGAACCACTTCTGAGCACTGAGCCAGGAGCAGCGCCAGGCATTGTTGATTGGGCTTAAGAACCTAAAAGGAATGTGCGCCCCACATTTGCAGTATGCCCATGAGGAGCCACCACAGCGTGTCGAACCCCCATTGGCGAAGACACAGGCGGGCTGAACAGCTCTGGGGGCTGGGGCGGGGGTGGGGGACCCTTGCTTGCCACCCGCGGGGCCGGAAGCTTTGTCTTGTGCAAGCTCTCAGCTGTGGAGGCTTCAGCATTGCTCTGCGGATGAATGTCATTTCTTGGCAACGGACGGGAAAGGCAAACTTGTCTGCTACACGGGGATTAAGTTTTCGCCATGCAGTAAACCGTCTCCAGCCTGTGCAGAGACGTTTATCTCCGGGAGACTATGCAGGCCGTTTCCCAAGAGTCAGGCGCTGGCGGAAGTCGGCATGTGCCAGTGAGATTACATCCCCTCTGGGCAGCAGAGCTGCGCTCAATTTCTTCTCTGTCTGTCTCTCTCTTTTGTGTGAGACAGACACCCATTCGGTATCTAACTGAAGAATGCCCCATACTGATAAGCTCACTGAGGCAAGGTGAAGAACATTCTAGAACCACCAAGATTGGTGGCAGCCGTGCCTGGGAGCCAGACCATAGCCCCAATCACTGGCCCTTTCCTGCATCTGGCTGGAAGTGCTGCAAAGAGAAGGAAATTGAAACCTCGTGAAGAATAAAGCTGAATTTTAGGGGTGCTTAGACACTAAGTGGTGATATTCCTAAGTGATCATTTCAGACTTTCTTCTTCCCGGGCAATGCATGGTGCCTTCTGAAAGGAGGGATTATGAAAACTTGCCTTCTTGGCATGGGCTGTCTTAAAAGAGGCATTTCTCAAGGGTTTTATTTGGTGGGGGGAACGACCCCCACTTTTTCAGTGGGGGGCCCTGTTGGAGGCGTCTGGGAATGGGTCTTTACAGAAATCAGTCTGAGAGTCTGACAGTTGTTCAAGGCCGGCTGACCACAAACAAGCCAGCGTTTCCAAGAACTCGCTGCAAATTATATGAAACGCTAGACCTGTAACAGGCTCTCAATGTATTAACGGCCGAAAAGGGAAAAAAAAAAACACGAGAAAGACGAGAAAGAGTATTGGAACAGAGTCACGGTGTATGAGGAGACAGCGAGCGGGAGAGACAGGCAGGGGTGAAACTGAGTCACCACAGGTCAGGAGAAGGCACAGGAGGGGGTGGGTGATGTGGCTGGGGGTTGGGGGTGGGGGCAGAAACCAGGACTCAGGAACCAGGAGACTGAGGAAGACCAAGACCAGGAGGTGCCAGAGGGTCCCAGAGGACCTTGCGGTGGGAAAGAACAATCCTTTTTGCCCCTCCAGCCTGTCCCCTCCCTTGTCAGGTGCACCTTTACCAGTCCCCATCATTAGGTGACAGTACCTTGGGGTGTCCCTGCAGGCTAACTGGGACTCCAGCAGTGCTTGTGGGATGGGGTCAAATTGAAAGCCTCACATCCTCCTCTCGCTCCAGACTGCCCTCCATCCTGGCCCCCAGACCCGCCTAGCCCTTTGGGGTGAGCAGAGACTGTGCCTCTGGAGCCAGGTGAAGCCCTGACATCCCCAACTTCTACAGGCCTTGGGCCTCCCGTCTCCCCTGCCCGCCCAGCCTGAGCATGTGCCCTGTCTCTGGAAGGAGCTCCTCTGCCCACTTCTCCTGGCATGGCTGCTCCAAACAGTCTTGTGCGCTCTGAAGGACATCCTGTCTCTGGGAGAAAGAAAGGCAAGTATCCCCTGGATGTGCTGGGGAGACAGAGGAGGAGGGGGAGCCGGGGGCCAGGACCTGAAGACTCACCCTCAAAACGCCCGTTCCCCACCCCACAGAGACGTTCAAAGCAAGGGGGAAACCACTAAGATCAGGACTGGAGAGAGGATATTGGGATTAAGGTGCTTGCTCTGGTTCCACCCTGAGCATCAAAGCGTCCAGGAACGAAGCCTGAGCACAGAACCAGGAGAGCCCAACCCCAGCACTACTGGGTGTGGCCCATCTACCACTCCCCCCAAAAAGACACAGCTGGAATCACAGTGCGCCTGGCAGTAGAACGTCAGTGCCTGGTGCAGATCACTGAGAACCTAGCAGTGAATGTGGGATGGTGCGTGGCACATGTGTGCATGGGTGATTTCTGACTCTCCCCTTAGACGCTTTCCTGGGATTCACAGATGTCTCTCCTACATTTTCCCCAAGGCCCCAGCTGGAATGCTGGCTCTGGGCACTGGTCGTTTCTGCTGTCAGAAATCTCAGGAGTTTGCAGGGCAAATGGGTATTGAACTGTTTTTGACATGAACTGCCAAGCGGTCAACGGAAGTGCTTATCCACAGGGAATAAACCCCCGTGAGCACCATTCCACCCCAGAAATGGCGCCTGCCATCCACAGCTTCGCACTTTGTGTAATAATATCTCAATCATTTGGTTATAGTAACTCTGGCCATAGTAACTCTAATTGCCAGGCTACCCCCCGCCCCCCAAACACGCTTACTTGTGTCTCTGATTCTCCTGGTTCACTGAAATACATGAAAGGCACCTCTCAAGCCCATGAAAATAGGTTGCTTTCCAGGGGTTTCATTAAAAATCCCCAGTATGTTGGGGACGAAGGACTTAGACTAATATTTACTCTCTACAAACACTTGTTGTAAAGGGACTTTCCCACCTTTTGTGGCCTTAACGGAATATATTTTTGTTTGGGGTTGGGAGTCACATTGACAGTGCTTAGGGTTCACTCCTAGCAGGTATTGGGGGACCCTATGCATTGCAGAGGATTGAATTGGGGAGGAGCACCTGCAAGGCCAGTGCTAGTACCCACTGTACTTACTGTACTATTAGTGGGTACAGTGGGTCGGAGAGAAATAGTACAGTGGGTACTCTACTATTTCTGACCCACGCCCTTCTCAAAATTTTTAGAGAAGAAAAAAAAAATACCAGTTAAAAGTCCACAGAAGGGGACCAGAAAAATAGTACAGCCGTAGGCCATTTGCATTTCCATCCCCATCACTGTATATGGTCCCCCGATCGCTGCCAGGAGTTAACCTCTGAGCATCCCCGGTTATGGCGGCAACCCCCCCCAAATAAATAAAAATAAAATGCACAGAGGAGCCGTGCGTAAAATCTGCCTGTCTGAAGACAGTGCCTGGGCGCACTGGTGTAGACGGACCTTGTGGAAATAGCTGCAAGGATTCGCGTTAGCCGACGACCTGTGCACCCAAGACAGTAAGTAGTGTTTCCCCCTGCAGAGGCTTAGCGAGAGCTACAGTTTCTCCGACATCCATGAAATAGTAGCACTGTTAGGAGCCCGGGGGCCTTAAACACGACTTCTTGTTCTATTCCGTTTTTCAGCTGAACCCTAGGGGCGGGGGCGGGGTGGGGGTGGGGAAGAGGGGAGCTGGAGTCTCGGCTCTGCCCCCGCCCCACCCCCACCCGGAGCCTGCGCGTCCGCGGGGCTCGGGCTCCCAGGAGCTCTGCAACAAAGGTGCAGTGTGCGCCCGGGCGGCGCGAGCGCGAGCGCGGCGTGTGGCTGCGGGGCAGGGCGTGGGCAGCGGGGGGTTGAGCCGAGGACACCCTGCAAACCCGCCCCTCGGGGGTCCACGCCCGGCGCGGAGCGGGCCGCCCCGTCCACGCCCCCTCGCCTCCCCGTGGGCCGCGCGCGCGGCGGGCGGGCGGGCGGGGCGGGGCGGGGCGGGGCGCGCCGCTTTTTTCTCCCTTTCCGCCCCCCACCCCGGCTCCGGCGCGGCCACGTGACCCCCCCATTCACCGCGCGCCAATGGCCGGGCGCGGGCGGGCGCGGGGCGGGCGCGGGGCGGCGCGGGCGGGCGCGCGCGGGCGCCGTGCGTGACGTGCGGCCGCGGCTGCCATGGCGCGCTGAGCCGAGGATGCGCGGCGGCGGCGCGGCCCAGGGCGAGGAGCGGGCGACGCGGGCCCCGGGCCGGGGCGGCGAGCGGGCATGGCGGCGCGGGCCCGGCGCGCCTGGCTCAGCGTGCTGCTCGGCCTGGTGCTGGGCTTCGTGCTGGCCTCGCGCCTCGTGCTGCCCCGCGCCGCCGAGCTGAAGCGCGCGGGCCCGCGGCGCCGCCCCGAGGGCTGCGGGGGGCCGGGCCGGGCGCGGGCGGCGGCGGCGGCGGCGGCGGGGGGCGCGCGCGGGGCGGCGCCGCCCGAGCGCAGCCTGCTCTTCGTGGGGGTCATGACGGCGCAGAAGTACCTGGGGACCCGCGCGGTGGCCGCCTTCAGGTGAGCCCCCCGAGCGCGCGCGCGCGCGCCCTCCTCCCCGGGCCCCGCGTCCCCCCGCGCGCGCCCGCCCGCCCGCCCGCCCGGGCCCTCCTCGCGGGCCACGTGAGTCCGAAAAGTGGCCGGAGTCTCGGGCGGGATTAACAAAGGGATTAGCTCCTCCGGGCGTCTTCGGAGCGGATGGTTTGGGGACCGGGCGGGTGGGTGCAGACTCGGGCGAGGGGTTCCCCCGGCCGCCTTCCGGGGCTGTTTGGGGCCCACGCGCGCGCACTTGGGGTGCAGGCCGGCCCCTCCAGTCCCCCCTCCCCCGGAGTGGACTGGCTGGTGCAGGACTCAGCTGGACAAAGGCTCGTCGCCGCACCGGGGGTTCGTGCCACTTCAACTGTTCCGTGCAGCCCCGGTCGGAGTCTCAGGGTGTTCCAGTGCGGGAGGGAAAAGCGACTCAGACCCCCGTGTCCAGAGGCCGCGGAGCGCTGGGCAGCCGGCAGCCTCGCTGTGTGGGTTCTGACCGTTCTGGGTGTTTCTGCCAGGTTCTGCTGGGAAGGCCACGCGGGGTTTCGAAGGCCGAAGTTTGTCCGTGGTCGCTGGCAAGAACCCTTCTGCCAGCCTGGCTTCTCCCAGAGGGACCACTTGGGAATTGGGAACTTGGTGGGAATTGTGCCCCTTTTGGGTGGCACTGGGGGCGGGGGGTGGGGCACACCGGCTGTGCTTAGGACTTCTGGCTCTGCATGCAGGGATCACGCCTGGTGGGCTCGGGGAACCATATGAGATGCCGGGGATCAGACTCTGGTCAGTCGTGTGCTAGGCAAGCACCCTCCCCTCCCCACTGTCCTGTTGCTTGACTGCAAATCGTGCCCCTTCTGATCAAAGCAAGCAGGTGAGTGGCCGCCTGGGTCATGGCCTGGTTTGCCCAGTGAGGCCCGTGTTTTTAAGGACTCCACCTGAATAAGCCCTGAAGGGTCTGGTTAGGCCTGCTGGGGGCTACGTGTGCAGCCATGTGGCATGCCAGCCAAGCCACGGGGTGGGGAGAGCAGGACCGTCCCCGGGCCATACTCGGGGGCACTCCCACCACTGTCCAGGAGAGCCCGCAAGGCCGGGCCTGGACCTGGACCTGGGCCTTATGCATGCTGACCCTTGTGTTCTCAGCCGTCTGTCTGACCCCATGTCTGTCTGTCCGACCTCCTCGTCCATGGCCGTCTGCCTTCCTTTTCAGGCTGCCTACTTCGTCTCCTGAGTAGCTCGAGGCTGGTGTCCTCACCTTGCTCGTTTGCTCTCTGGCAGTGAAGGAGACCCCCAGTTCGCCCTCCCATGTCACCTCCTGTGCCCCTTTTCTCTCCTACACTCGGAGCCCCAGGGTGGGTCTGCCTTGCAGCCGCTGCCCTGCCCCCCCTTGTACCCGCAGGGACAGCACAGGCCACTTTTAGCCCCGAGGGACTGGGGACCAAGGGGGAGGCCCGGACCGGGTGGAGGTCACCGAGTGGAACTAGTCATTATGGTTTAGCCAAGCTCTGCTGCCTGGGCCAGTGCCCTGCGGGCAGGGAAGCCAGCGGGTCCCCAGCTGGGCTGGTTCCAGTTCTAGTTCTCCCTCAGTGGCAGGGTCAAGTGTCAGCCCCAGACACACTCTGGTTCCTGCCTGTCTTGAGTGTCTTGGCTTCTGGGTGGGCAGCATGTGGGGGATGGTCCAGGTGGCGCCTGCCTTTGACACAGTCCGGGCGGGCTCTTCAGGCCTGGGAACCAGCAACTGAGTTCTGACGGCGGCGTTTCCAGAACCCTGCAGGTTGTGGCCTCCCCTCGGCTGTGGCTGTCGTCACCTCCCGCACACTGGGCCTCATGTCTCCCTCCCGTCCACACAGGAACCTGGGTGTTGGGGTGGAGGCCCAGGCCCTGGGAGAAGGGTGTCTCCTGGGGAGGGGTGCCGTGGAGAGGGCAGCGAGGCCTCTGTAGTGTGGGGGGATGCACTGGCCGGCCACTTGGGTGACAGTCCCCAACCAGCTTGCGAAGCACCAGGACGAGCTAGTGAGACTCAGGACCCTCAGGGATGCCGGCACAGTGGGTCCTCTGGCTCTGCAGCTAGGGGGCTTCGGGGAGGGGGGGGGACTGTGGAGAGGGTGCTGGAGCTGTGTGCTGAAGGTGGCATATCTGACCACGACTCTGGGACGGCCACAGATGGACACCTGTGTCGTTTGGTGGGGACAGGGAGAGGAGGAGGAGATTCTGGGGATGGTGGTCCAGGACGTGGTATTCCGGCTTTTTGACATGGGTGGCTGGTGCTTGGCTTTGTCACAGCCCGGCCCAGACGTGGCCTGGAGCCACGGGCCCCAGGGTGGTGGGTCACAGGTTGCCCTGGACCTGCCCAGGCCCTCCAGGCTGCGGCTCCCTCTTCAGCACCTTGCTCTTAGAGCGAGCAAGATGCCCCCCAGCTGCTCCCGGGGCTCCCCCACCCCCAGTTGTTCCGTGCTGTCTTTTGGGGGTGGTCGTTCAACACCCCCACATACAGGCCTCGGCCCTCGTCCCCCTGCGGAATGGCGGGACATTTTCTTTAAGGGGAGCAGGTACTCTGGAGCCCTTCGTGGCGGGGTCCCTGCCGCCTCGACTCCTCGGGTTGCTGGCCTTTCTCCGTCTCCGACTGTTTTCCTCTCCAGAAGTTGAGGCGCTCGCTCACACCATTCCGTCCTTTGGACGTTGATGTTTGGTTTGGTCCCCCCCCATCAAAATCATCTCAGTCTCATCCCCATACCCTCCCCAGTACACTATCACCCCCACCTGCTGGCGCACACCCCCGCTTTCGCATCCTCGGCCCTGGCTGCACTCTCACTTCCTGTTTGTCCCGTTGATCTTTTCGTCTGTTCTCTTGCCAGTACCACCCGTTGAAATTATTGGAGGTTGAATAATATTTTAATATCTGGTAGACAAGTTCCTCTTTTGTCTAGACAAGACACAAGCGACTCTTCTGTTTCAGATATTTCTTGGCGACACTTTCCACTTCTTGTCGGAAGAATTTTGATGCTGTTTAGATTTTCTTTTCATTTAGTCATCCCTTTGAGTAAAAGAAAGAAAAAAAGAAGGAAAAAGTGGCAGGCTTTCCCTTTCAGCGTGGCCGTGCCCAGGTGGCCGGGCTGCTCCACACGTTTCCTTTTACCTTTCCTTTTCTTCCTTTGTTTTCGGTGGGGCGGGCCATACCTGGCGATGCACTCAGGAGTCCCACCTGACGGTTCTCAGGAGTTCCGGGGATCAAACCCGGGTCTGCCGCGTGCGAGGCAAGGCCCTCCCTACTGTCCTATCGCTCCTGTCCCACCCAACACATTTTCTTTGAGCTCCCTGGGCCGAGTGGAGGGGTTGGGGTGGGGTGGGGGATTGTTCTCTGCTCCTCTGGAAGGACGTCTTGGTTCCCCTCTGCCCACAGCTGACTAGGGCACCGTTAGAGGCTGGTGAGGGGACCCTGGTCACCGGCCGGGGAAACGTAAAACTTTGGCGCCAGACCCAGGCCTCAAGCTCCCGTTCTGCCCGTCTGGGGCGTTTGCCCGGAGAGCCTCCCCCTCCCAGCTCAGTCTTCTCAGTACCCCATGGCAGCTGCCTCAGAGCTGGACTTTCTTAGACGGGCCCTCCTGTGGCCCCAGGAACCTGCTGGGCCTTTGAGTCCGCCACTGGACCCTTGGTGGAACTGGGGAGCCCATGGTCCCAAAGTCTGTGCCCACACTTCATGTGCCCAGGTTTTCTGAAAAGGCACCCCTGGGCGTCTGGAGCCCTTTGGGCATCAGCCTCCCGCTGGGTTGGGCCCTGCTACGATGGATCCTGCAGAGGTGCAGCTGAGACGTGCGGCTGGCTGGGCGCTCCCGGGGCGCCTGCGCTCATCGCCGTGGGGTACAGGGGCCAGAGGAGGCCTGCCCTGCTCCTTGCTCTGTCTGAAAGGAAGAGGAAGGTTTTGCGGGCTCAGTTTAGGGGTCACACCGGCGGTGCTCAGGGCCTGTGTCCTGGGCCAGGGCTCAAACCCAGGTGGGCAGTGTGATCCGCCCTTCCTTTCCCTAAGGAAGGTGGTTTCGAGAGGGACCCTCGCAGGCCCTGGACCGGTGGCCGTGGGAATGGTCTGAGTGTCCTGGGACGAGTGACATGCCTGTCTCTGCTTGTATCACCTGGTGACAGCTACCGAGCCACCAGAAGGGGCGTGGCGCTGGGGAGAAAGGGGGTGTGGTGGGGCATGTTTGGGGGTCCCTGGAGGTCTGGCAGGCAGGGGCTGTGGACTTTTAGCTTCTGCCTTCCAGCCCAGCATCACTTGTGATGTCACTCCTCTGAAGTGTTGGGGTGACCCAGTGTCTGTGACTTGGTGCCTTGGGTGTCTCTTGATGCCCCGGTGCTCCCTCTGCTGTGGACATCTTGGGGTCCACCTCCCACACTGTCCCCTCTGCTCTGGACATCTCGGGGTCCACCCCTCCCAACACACTGCCTGCTGCAGGCGTCTCGTGCTTTTCAAGGGTCTGGGTGGGATCACACTTTACAAGCGTGAGGGTTACAGGGAATGGGAGCAGAGGGTCCCTCTGTTCCGACCTGCTGACCCCTTTTAAGAGAAAGAATCAGCTGGCACCCCCAGAAGCTCCCTTTATTAAACAAGACACACCCTGCAGGGGCACCAAGGCTGCTCCCCTATCTGTCTTTGCCCTGGGGGCGGGGTCACCCGCTGGGGACAGTTGTTTACTGAGACCAGGGTTGAGGGTCTTGGATTTGGTTTACTTCCCCACCGAAGGCAGGAAGATGGCCCAACAGGCCCCGAAAATGAATGTGGGTCTCAGAAAGGGTTCCAGCACCTAGGCCTGACTGTCACTAGAGCCACTGAGCCCTCTAGGTTGCCCTGAGGGGTGGCATCCAGGGCTGTTTCCTGAGCTGATAAGGCTGAGAGGCTCTGGAGAAGGCGGCCGTGATAACAGAAGCAGGTACGGGCTGTGTGCCAGCCAGCCGCCGGCTGTGAACGGGCACAGCCCTCACCCGGCCCTGCCTGTTTTCTTACTGGCAGAGATGGTGTGCGGGTGCCCAAGGGGTCAGCGCAGGTGGGGACTGCAGCCCAGTGCGGCAAAGGGCCTAGCACTGTGGTGGGGTGGGGGGGAGTCCTCAGGATCTGCAGTAAACTGCCCCTGGGGTCTGGGGGAAGAAGACTTTCATTCCCGCAACTAAGGGGTTGTTGTTTCCACTTGTGATGGATGGACTTGGGGACCCTGGAAGGTGACCAGGCCCCGAGCACTGCTTGGGGAGTAGCCCCAGACAATACTTGTGTGTGATGGGTCTGGGCTGGTCGGGACTGGAGGTGGGTGCTGGGAGCCGAGATGATGAGAACAGACCTCCTGGGAGGGGCCCCCAGGCCTCAGGCCTGGCGCTGGAGGCGGCTGCGCCCCATTGTTTGCGGTGAGCTGGCCGAGAGAGCAGGTCGAGATTAGTTCTTAATTCCTTGGACCGGCCTCCTGGGCCGCTGGCCCAGCATTGTTGAGGTAGGAAGCTTGTAATCCACCCGCCTGGCTCCTTTTTCAGAAAGGGAAGGAAGGCAGGGAAGACACCTTAATGCCCGGGCTCACCTTCCCTCTCTGGGGATTAGGGGGCAAGTGTGTCATTTGGCTTTTCTGGAAAGAACTGCTCCTGCAGCCTGTGTTCGAGGGGTGCTCCCGGATCCCCCAAAGGACTGGCCTGGCCCCAACGGAGGGGAGGTTGCACTGGGGCCCTCATTGTAAGCAGGTTGGGGGTACTCCAGGGGCTCCTGGGGTGGCTTCCCCTCCCCATCTGACGCCCACAGATGCTGGCAAAGAGGTCACATGACAGCCGACAGTCCATTGGCTGGGAGTGGTCATGTGATAGTCCTGGCCCTGTTCCCAAGTGTACCCCTGGCTGCCCCCCTTGTCTCTTGCTTTCCCCGGGCAGGTGGGGTCAGGGCACTGGTCCATGCCAGTGTTGGGGGACCCAGGGAGAAGCGCCTCGGTATGATAGCGACCTGGGGAAACTCGGGAACCTTTTGGGGACGACGTGCAGCGGTGCTTGGGGCTGACCCTTGACTCAGGGCTCCAGGATTGCGCATGGTGCTAGGGGCCCCTGAGGGGTGTTGGGGCTCCAGTGTCACGGGCGCGGTCGTGGGGGTCCCCAGCAGTTCTGCTCGGCTCGGGTGGGTCCTGCCTATGGGGTTCCGCACAATAGTGACCTGCACGGAAGCTTGTCTTAGGCACCACCCGGTGACTTCACTGCAACAGACCATGGAGGTGCTCACTCGGCCCCTATCCACCCCAGTTTGGTGCTTAGTTCAGGGAGCAGGAGGGCCTCTCTGCAGGGATTCTGGCGGCGTTTTCATCTTGACCTGCTTGCAGGTGGGACCATCAGGCTGCTCGAATATGCAGATTTGGCCCAGAAACACAACAAATGGCACTTTCTGGAGGCTGGAGTGATAGTACAGCGGAGAGGGTGCTTTCCTTACTTGCGGGGGCCTCCAGTTCTATCCCCCGTACCCCGTAGGGTCCCCTGAGCACCACCAACCAGGAATGATCCCTGAACACAGAGCCAGGAGTAAGCCCTGAGCACTGCCAGGTGTGGCCCCAAAACCAGAAAAAGAAGTGTCACTACTCAAACCCTTTCCTCCAAGGCGTCCTGCAGAGATGTTGATTCACGATTAGCCTCCTTTGAGATTTTGGTACACCCCACAGTGCTGTGGGTGTGTGTGTCGGGGGAGGGGGGCACATGCTGCTCCCACCTCAGTGCTCACTCCCTGTGTTGCTTGGTGGCGCGTGCTCTGGCAGGAATGGACGTGGGACCACCAGGTGCTGTGGCCCCTGCACTCTCCCTCCTCTCCCACTATTCTGTTCTTTCAGGGCCTCCCGCTGCTTGCAAACTCCTGTCTCCCTGTGCTCTTCCGGAATGCCCTCTTGCGTGTGTCCCTGACTGACCTGGCCCCACTTCCGGTTTACAGAGGAGGACAGCAGGCCCTGACCCTTCCTGGCTGTTGAGTGCCCAGTTTCCTGAATCAGCAAAGCTCGGCTGCCTGCCCTGCTCGGGGCAGGGGCCTCTGGAGAGGGCCCAGCAGGCGGCTCTACACTGCGGGCTACTGAGAGGGAGGTGGGAAGCAGGTCAGTTTGGATACATCTAATGTCTCTGGCTGCACCCGATTCCCCCCCCCCACGAGACCTCATAGTACTTTAAAAACCTCTGTGGGCTATCCTAACTTCCAGGGCTCCCTGATTTATTCATCACTTTTTGCTCCAAAGCACTTTGGGATAAATGAAAGTTAAGTCGGGGTGGGGGTGGAGGTGGTGTTTTTTTTTTTTTTTAAGTTTTTAGCCCTCTTTTTTTTTTTTTTAATGAAGTCTCATGTCATTTTATTTATAATTGTATTTTATTTTGTGGTTTCAGGCCACACCCAGTGCTGCTTATGGGCTATTCCTTTTTTTTTGGGGGGGGTGTCACACCCGGCGATGCTCAGGGGTCATTCCTGGCTCATGCACTTAGGAATTACTCCTGGTGGAGCTTGGGGAACCATATGGGATGCTGGGAATTGGACCTGGGTCGGCCGAATGCGAGGCCAACGCCCTACCCCCTGCCGCTGTGCTATAGCTCCAGGCCCTAGCCCTCTTTTTTTTTTCTAATGTGAGTTGTGAGATAACAGAGCCTTTGCTTCTGAAATACCGGAACAGGAAGAGTATTTCAGCCCCAGCCCTTTGATCATCTGGTGGCTTGTGTGGTCGGACCTGGGCATGTGACTGCTGAGAGAGGCCAGGGGAAAGGAGGAGAGGGTTCTGCTCTTTCGCACTCCCGCACAGATGTGCACGCACACACACTCGTACACACATGCACACGCATGCTCATACACGATGCAGAGGATTTTGTGTCAAAAATCTTTTCTATGTGGAGAGATGGGTGGGGCCTCTTGTGACTGGGGGCGCCCTAGTGTCACTTTGTCATCATCACAGATGCAGTGGGAGTGGGTCCTCGCCACTCCAGGTGTGGCAGGCAGAGAAGGTAATAGATGGAGTTTGTGCCTCATGGGTTTGGTAATTTAATTTTTTTATTTTCGGGGGGTGTGGACATGCTCAGCTGGGCACTAAGAACCAGCAGACATCACTTTGTGGGGGAAGGGCTTGGTTTCTTTCTTTCTCCTTAACTTTTTCTCTTGTTTTGTTTTTGGGTCACAACTGGCGATGCTCGGGGCTTACTCCTGGCTCTGTACTCAGGAATCACTTCTCACGATGCTTGGGGGTACCATATGGGGTGCTGGGGGTGCATGCAAGGCGAGTGCCCTCCCCGCTATACTGTAGCTCCGGCCCCTTGTCCACATTTTAACTTCGGGGAAACCAGAGCATTTGCCACATACTGACTCCCTGTTATTATGACCTGTGTTTGTGACAGACTCTGTTATTTTCCTTCTCTCCCCCACTGTTTTCTTTGTGGGGGCGGGTGAGCTACACTGGGCTGTGCTCAGCTGACTGTGCTCAGGGATCACCCTTGGCGGACTCGGGGGACCTGTGGGACCCCGGGTGTGTTGTGTGCAAGGCCAGCGCCCGCCCTGCTGTACTATCTCTGGCCCCTTTTCCTTGGGGTATCTTCCGCTCGGCACCCTGAGTCTGATGGGAACGGCTCTGTGGGTCTGACCCTGAGGGGCACAGTGGGCAGAGAGTCATTCCCCCGGAAGTTTTCCTCTGCTGAGATGACTTTGAAGTGCTGAGGAGGTCAAGGCCAGCCGTCGTCCCATTTTCAGTTAGCTTGGTGGGAAACATTTTTAAAACATCAGGAGTGGTGCTTGACTGTGACCTCTTAGCACCTGTATTGCAAACCGTAATGCATAAAAGGAAAAGGGGAGAGAGAAGAAGAAGGAAAGGGTCTCCTATAGAGGGAGGCTGGGGGTAGGGGGTGGGGGTTTGGGGGATGGTGGTGGGGAATGTACACTGGTGGAGGGAGGGGTGCTGGATCATTGTATGACTGAAACCCAGTTATGAACAGGTTTGTAATGGTCTATCTCACGGATATCTAATTAAAAATATTTTACAAAAAAGTAATGTGGAGTTCATGCCTAGTTCAATCAGCTTAATCAATGGCTAAATAAATAGCAGTACTCTTACATTAAAAAAAAAAAAGAATGGTGCTTGAACATTTTGTGATGGGGTCCTGGAAACACCAACCCTGTGGTTGCAAGTCCCTGGAATTAGCCTTGAGCAAGTAGGATGTGAGTCCTGTTTGTTGCATTATGGACAAACTGGTAGATTTCTGGCTGTTACTTTAGGGACCAACAACTGCTGGATTTCCCATCTCTTACACTGGGGACCAATTGGTGGATTTCCTGTCTGTTATATTAGGGACCAACTGGTAGATTTCATATCTATTACATTAGGGACCAGCTGGTGGATTTCCTGTCACTAGGAACCAACTGGTGGAATTCATGGCTGTTACACAAGGGACCCACAGGGAGGGGTCATGTCTCACATTAGGGACCAGCTGGTGGATTTTATGTCTGTTACCTTAGGGACCAACTGGTGGATTTCCTGGCTATTAGAGTGGGGCTATAGCTTTGGGCCAGACTTTAGGACCTGCTCTGAGGTGGGTCCATCAGGCTGCCCAGTGTGGAGATTTGACAAGAAACGGGTGTCCGCTGGAGGCCAGCTGGTCCTGCCTTGAGATTTGGGCCATACCTGATGGTGGTACTCCCAGCGCAGTGCGTGGGGGGTGGGGGGTGGGGCGGAGCATGCTGTTGGGGGCAGGACTGGAGGCTTGTCTGGGATTCTTCAGAAGAGGGGTGTGTGTGTGCGTGTGTGTGTGCGTGTGATGGGGTTTGTGAATTCAGAGCTTGCATTCTTTGGGCAGGAATGGAGCCACTGGAAGTAACCAGTTCCCTCCTGGGCATGTTTCGCTTCCAGAACCTGGTCCAAGACCATCCCAGGGCGAGTGGAGTTCTTTTCCAGTGAGGGCTCCGACACATCCGTGCCCGTACCTGTGGTGCCGCTGCCGGGTGTGGACGATGCCTACCCGCCCCAGAAGAAGTCCTTCATGATGCTCCGGTACATGCACGACCACTACCTGGACCAGTTCGAGTGGTTCATGCGGGCGGACGACGACGTGTACATCAAGGGCGACCGGCTGGAGGGCTTCCTGCGCAGCCTGAACAGCAGCGAGCCGCTCTTCCTGGGCCAGACGGGCCTGGGCACCACTGAGGAGATGGGCAAGCTGGCCCTGGAGCCCGGCGAGAACTTCTGCATGGGGGGCCCTGGCGTGATCCTGAGCCGCGAGGTGCTACGGAGGGTGGCGCCCCACATTGGGCGGTGCCTGCGGGAGATGCACACCACGCACGAGGACGTGGAGGTGGGCCGCTGTGTCCGCAGGTTCGCGGGGGTGCAGTGCGTCTGGTCCTACGAGGTAAGGAGCCGGGGCCCCCATTTGCTTTTGCCAGGACCCGACGGCTCCCGCCGCGGGGTTCCCGGGGCGACCACAGTGGGAGGGCGTGATCACAGCGGCCGCATGCAGCCCTTGTCTCGACACCCTGCCACCCCTGAGTTTCTGAAGTGGAACGGGCATGTGTGTGAGTGCTTGCGTGTATGCATGTGTACATGTATGTGTGTGGGTGCGTGTGCCTGTGTGTGTGAGGGCATTTGTGTGAGTGAATGTGTTGTGCATGTGTGAGAGACTGAGAATGAGTGTGTCTGGGTATGTGAGTGTGTGAGAACGTGTGCGTGAGTGTGTGAGAATGTGTGTGTGTCTGCATGTATGTGTGAGTGCCTTTGTGTGTGAATGTGTATGCGTGTGTGTAAGACAGAATTGAGTGTCTGGGGTCTGGGTATGTGTGTGAGTGTGTCTGTCTGAGTGTGAGTGTGTGGATGTTTGTGTGTATCTGCATGTGTGTGAGGGCCTTTGTGAGTGAATGTGTTGTGTGTGTGACTGAGAATGAGTGTGTCTGAGTATGTGGGTGTGTGTCTTGAGTGTGAGAACGTGTGAGTGAGTGTAGGTTTGTGTGTGTCTGCATGTGGATGTGAGTGCCTTTGTGTGAGTGAATGTGTCGTGCCTGTGTGTGAGACTGAGAATGAGTGTGTGAGAACGTGTGAGTGTGTGTGTGTCTGCATGTGTGTGAATGGAGTGTATGGGTGTCTGTGAATGTGTGCCTGAGTGTGGATGTGGCTGTTTGTAGTTGAGGGCATGTGTGCGTGTATGTGTGTGCTTGTATATGCCTGTGTGAGTGCATACATGAGTGTGTGTGTGTGGTGGGGCTGTCAGACTCGGGAGCTCCCTGTGGACTCCTGTTTCTCTTGGCAGAGCTGCACTGCCTGCCCGGGGCTGGAGGCCCCGATATTAGTCACAGTGGAAACAGTGAGCTGAGGGGTGCTGAGGTCATCGATAACTGCTGAGCCTCCTGGTGAGCAGCGGCTGCCTTGCAGCCTTTGTCCCAGAAGAGATGCGTGTTCTGCAGCTGCCCTGTGCCTTGGTGCTGAGAGGGCTCGGGGTGCTCGGTGCTGCTGTGCTTTTTCCATCTCCTTCCGCCTGTAGCAGCTAGCTTTTCCCAGTTTCTGCCTGACCGCCGGACCATCAGCTCCGGGCGCAGGTCCCTGGCCCTGTGACCTGCCATCCCGCATGCTTTAGGCTCAAGATCACAGATTCTGTCTCTGCCTCAGCCCCAGCCCCTTGGCTCCCTTTCTGTGCCCTGAGTTGGTGGTCCCTCACTGTATATGAGCCCCACAGGCATTGGGGGTCCTGCAGCCAGGAGAGCTGTTTGGGGTCTATGCGGTTCAGGGGGAAACTGTGTCAGTTTCGGTGCTCTCTCCCCTCCTCCTCTCTCCTCCCCTCCCGGCCTGCCTCAAGCCATCAGGGTGTGGAAGGCCTGGTGAATTTGGGGATGCTCTAGTGAGGGAGCAGGCGAAGGGCCTCCCCCGGAACAGAGGCGGTGCCTGGAGCTGTTTGGAGTCATGGCAGACCCTTGTCCCAGGGTCAGGCTGCTTCTGTGACGTCATCACACCCTGAGTCACCACTCAGGTTTGATGCCTGAGAAGCCTCAGGGCTGGGGGGCTGGGGGCAGCGTCTCTTGAGAGCCCTGTGGCGGGTCTTTTTAGTTTCGGTCCTGCCACGTTACTTTTCTTGGGGCCACACGTACCAGAGCTCAGCGTAATCCCTGGCTCTGTGCTTGGGGATCACTTCTGGCAGGGCTCGGGGGGTTTTGAACCTGGCTCAGATGCCAACAGGAACTTCCCCATGCTCCTGTCTCCCCACTCCCCCCCCCCCCCCACACACTGCTTTCCAGGCTTAAATGCCTCTCGGTGCCCTGGTGCTGAAGTTGCCGTGGGGTTTCCTTTGTTGGAGGCTGACTTCTAGAACATGGCTCTTTAACTTCTAAATGTATTATTTTTATCATAGGAAAATTGTGGCTTCTGGTGCTGTCCCATTTATCATTCTTTCCCTGTGGTTTGTGGTTTTTATTTATTTTGTATATGTTAAAAAATGGACTGGAGCGATAGCACAGCAGGTAGGGAGTTTGCCATGCACATGGCTGACCCGGTTTTGATTCCTCCGTCCCTCTCGGAGAGCCTGGCAAACTACCTAGAGTATCCCACCTGCACGGCAGAACCTGGTAAGCTCTCCGTGGCATATTCGATATGCCAAAACCAGTAACAAGTCTCACACTGGCGGCGTTACTGGTGCCCACTTGAGCAAATCAGTGAACCATGGGAGGACAGTGCTACAGTGCGATGTTAAAAACAATTCTGGGTTCAAAGGCCAGAGTGATAGGACAGCAGGGAGGGCGCTTGACCTAGGTACAATCCACGGTGTCCCGAGCACTGCCAAGAGTGATCGCTGAGTGTAGAATCAGCCCTGCGCATCACCAGTATGACCCAGAAAGAAAAAACAACCCCCCTGGGTCCAGAGCAGGGGCATGGTGGGGGGGATGAATCCCCGCATCGCACAGTCCCTGAGTCCTGCAGAGCATGGCCCCAAACCTCCCTTCTCCCTTGGGGAAGCAGCCTTTCCCCGGGTGTTTTTCTTGTCACCTGGCTGCGTGTCCTAGGATGTCGCAGCTCTTCCTGGTTTGGAACTCTCCCGCACTGCCATAGTGTCCAACTTCTGTTTCTTTCCCCCTTTCCCTGTTTGATTTTCCTCTCGGGCTTTAAGTGCTCTGTCCCGTTTGGGTTCTTCACCGAATCCACTGTGCGGGTGCATTAATCCCTCAAGTGGACGAGGAACTGTTATTAAACTTCCTGCAAAGCCAGTTTGGGGATTAAGGTGCCCATTATGAGAAATTATTGAGGCGGAGTCTTCTTTCAGAGATAATTACGCTAAGCCCTGAGTCTCGGAAGATACTTCTTTAGCTCCTTCATAAATCTAGCCAGAAGGTGTGACTTTCTTAATTTCTTTCTTGCAAGTAGAAATAATGCCTTGGGATTGTACTAATGTAATTACGGTGACTCATAGGAATCCAGCTGTCAAAATAAAAATCCAGGGGCTGGAGAGAGAAAGAGTGCAGGGGATACGGCCTGTGCCTTCCATGGAGCTGATGCCATTTGTCCTGACACAGCACAGGGACCTCCGAATACTGCCAGGAAGGATCCCTGAGCACAGAAGCAGGAGCAAACCCCTGTAAAGCACTGTTAGGGTGTGGCCCAGCTCCTCCAAAAATAAAAATCTGGGTTAGTACAGCAGGTAGGATTCTTGCCTTGCACATGGCCAACCCGGGTTCGATCCCCCAGAATCCCGTATGGTTTCCTGAGCCCTGCCAGAGGTGATTCCTGAGCGCAGAGCCAGGAGTAACCCCTGAGCATTGCCGGGTGTGGCCCTAATACCAAAAAATCAAGAAATTCAAAGAAAAAGTCAATGAGAACTGAGGTAACGAGACCCAGTTTTAGGCTGGCCTGGGTCTTCCCTGATCAGGGCGACAGGGTGGAGGCAGCAGCTTGCCTGACGGGGCCAGGGAGGGGCATTGAAAATATTTAAAGTTTAGATAGTTTATTTAGGCAGAAAGAAAAATTACACCATTTTCTCACGAGGGAGATAAAAGAAAACCGCTCTGATTAACATACTTGATTTTGACTTTGTCTTGGCATTTATAGGTCTGGAAAAGTGCACAGCTGGGCCAGAGCCTGGAGGTCACTTGTTTTCCACCACAGAGCCTGCGGCCAGCTCTTGGTGGTTCGGTTTGGTTTCTGCATTTTGGTCCCCACCCAGAGGTGCTCAGGGATCGCTCCTGGTGGGGCTCAGGGCATCTGGGTGCTGGGGCTTGAGCCCAGGTCACCTGCGGGTAAAGGGCCAGTCACTGGTCTCCGCTCTGCCCCCCAGGTCTTAGCATTTTCACGTGGCATTTGCCTGGATGGTGGTCACTGGGGGCGGGGACAGTCACTGGCTAACCTCCCATCGCAACTGAAAGAAAAGCTGTTCCTGACAGGAGGTAGAGCCGAGAGAACATGGCTCGAAGGGGCCCGTGCTGCGCCAGGGGCCCCCGGGCCTGTGTCCCCACTGCCACCTCCTTGCCTGTGCCCTGCTCGTTGGTCCAGGCCCAGCTTGGAAGCCACAGTGCAGGCGTGTGTGGCTGAGTCTCTCTTCCTCTTCCTGGCTGGTCTCGGGTCACAGCTGCCTCCGTTCCAGCCTCGGCTGTGCTGGGTCCCCACTCGCTCCTTGGGGATGGGTCACCCTGACCCGAACAAAGCTGGTTCCCGGGCTGGTGGAACAAAGCTGGTTCCCGACACAGCCGGTCGCTGGGGAGTCCCGTCCTGGGCTGCTCTGCTTCTCCCCACATGGGTCCCCGAGGCTCTGACCAAGGGTGACCAGCCTGGCACTCACCTACCCAGGCCGTCAGCAGGGGCTCCAGGGCGCTCAGGGAGAGGACACAGGGGACCTGGTGGGGGCTTTGCAGACGTGGGGCGGGGGGAGGCGGCGCCTTTTCCCAGGAATAATGGCCTGGGCTTCTTTCTGTGTTTTGGTGAAGCAAGATAGTTCTTACTGAAGCTTATTTAAACAGATGTGAGGGGAGAGAAAAAGAAGTGGGTGTCTGAGAGAGAACACGGGCTTCTCCATGGTGGACTCCGTTGAGGAAAGAGGCAGGAAAGCCAGCGAGAGGTGTCAGGGGGGAATGCGGTCTCGAGCAGCGAGGTTGGTGCGTGGGGAGTGTGCTCGTCCTGTGCACGATCGGCCCAGGTTGCTCCCTGGCTCCCCGTGTGGTCCCCAGTGATCCCTGGGCACTGCTGGGTGTGGTCCCCAAACCCAATAAAATCTCTTTTTTGTGTTTTGTAAAGGGCATGAAGTCCAGGGTGACTGGCGGCACCGAGCGTGTCTGGCCTCTGGCTCTGGCCCAGTGAGCTCAGTTGCGATGGGAGGTTAGCCGGTGACCGTCCCCGCACCCTCAGGAGTTGGGCACCCGCCCTGGGGCTCAGCGGGGAGTGCCC